CCTCTGTGCCATTAATATAATACATTAAAAGGTTACTGTCAAGATTAGTGTTTCAGCTCTGAAAATTGACTGTAAGGTTTATGGGCAGTGCTGTTCATATTCTGCTTGGAAGATGAGGTGTCTTCTACTTACCACTTGACAAAACCATTATGCTGTTACAAGGCTTTATACTGAAAAACTTGATAAATAGCTAAACGTAAATAAAATCTCACTTGAAAAGCAGGCGAATAGTTGCTCTCTGTCTTATAGCCAGATTTAGCAGATGTGGGTTTGAATGTAAAACAGTTGTGAAAATAGCCAGTGTCAAACTAGTGCAAAATTAAACTTGTGGGGTGTTCTGTTTTCAGTGTCTGTTATTGTTGAAGTGCTCCATTTCAAAAGCATGCATTCCTTCCTACAGAAAAAAAATCAGATTCCTTAGTTGAAATTAATTAGCATTCAGAAACCAGATAGCATGTTTTTGGGTATTCATGAGATCTCTGTTTGAAAAAATGTTTTTAACTTGTAGAAATGTGTTGCAACACACAGATGGGAAGAAAAAGAAAAAAAAAATCTCTTTAGCAAGCACTGTGTGTAAAAGGAATATTACATTTTGCACGCTCCTGATTACCCTGTGTAAACAGTTTTTGACATCTGTCTTTATAGTTTTCGAGGAGAGGAAGACTTTGTTAAAAGAACCATTTTTATACAGCAGTCACCATTTCAGTCTTGCTTTACCTGTATTATGAAAGCAGATGGTCTGCATGTCTTCTGAATATTTATAACTATCAAAAACAATCTCTTGCTATTCACCCTTAGGCTTATGAGATGTCAGGACTGTTCTGGTTGAAAAAAAATCATCTTGGGTGTTTACAGAAAGAGGATTACATTAAGCTGAAATGACTATACATTTTCCAGTTTAATATTTGTCCATCAGCTGTTTAATCGTATTTAGATAATTGTGTAAATAAGTTGTTGCAGCCCTTGCCCCTTCCACTGAGCAGGCTTGAAGCTTTAAACACCAATGAATGAGTTGCAAAAAAAGCTTGGATTTTTTTATTCCTAGTTAAACAACCTGGAAGGCCTAAATAAGTTTTGGTTACAATGCTTCTTTTGAGGGAAATGTTTCATTTGCAAAGGAATCCCGGATATCTAATTCATCCGAGTTGTAGGAAGCTGCTGTGTCTGTTGCTCTGTAAGTCTGTTACCATGTATTTGTTCTGTGTAAATACTGCAGCCCAACTGCCCCTTCATGAGGCATGAAAACAACCTCATTCTGCCCATATAAAAATAATTTTAAGGTTATTTAGGGGAAGTTTTGGGACTGTGTGGGTTAAAAGCTTTTTTGACTGGAAGCTGAGCAATCACTGATAACAGATTTTGCTGTGGTTGGTTGATTTGGCAGAAAAGCATGAACAGTTTTGGTTTAGATGATTGAATTAACCTGATTAACATTGGTTTTGTTGTTTTGCAAAAAGGACAACAGTATACTTTTAGCGATGCTGGAACAATACTTCACCTGGTTGGAGAGCAGTGCTAGAGGCAATGACTCAGAAATGCCTCCTGTGCAGCACCTGCACAGGTGGCTGCAGCGACCAGCCAGCACCAAGGGCTTGGGCGCTTCTGTGGCTTGCAGGACTCGCTGTGCACTACATACTGGCACGACACAAAGGTGTCTGATGCTGCCGTCTTACCGGGCTTTATCTGAGGGGTGTTTGAAAAGAGTTCTGACTGAGGTTTAAGACATTTCCTCAGGGAGTTCCCCAACTTCTCAGAGAAATAATGGTGTCTGGTTTTCAAATATCTGGTGTTTAATCTTCCTGAGAGAATGGGATTTGGTTCAAACTACTCTGAGTGAACCTCAGCTGAACTTCAGAACAAATTCTACCGCTACCTCCACACAGTTGTTGGATGCCTAATTATAATTAACTTATTTGGCTAAAAAAAAGAGCACTTGGGCTGCAGCAGATGGCATCATTCCAGAATAGTGGGATTTCTGTGAAGGTGGCACCATTTCAGATGAGATCTCCTGATTCATAGAGCAGGACTACACGTGATGTGGTTGGGGGACAGGAGGGAGAGAGAGAGGGGAAAGAGGGAAAATTGGGTTCTTAAGTCTCGCTATTTACTTTCAAGGATAAACTTCTAGGAGATACATTAAAGATTGCAGATCTGTGACTTTTTTTTGCGTTCTGTCAGTTTTCTTTGCGACATCAAATCAGACTGAGTGATGAATGTGATGCATTTGAATATTTGTATGATATATTTATATTCCTCATCCTTGCGTCTGCCTCTGTGCCTCACAGATACAGAATGCCTGGGTACAGTAGTACCTGAACATGATTGGCTTCAGGTACAGTCATTTTCATTTTGATTATTGATAAGTACAAGCCAAGACATAAGGAAACTGTCATGTGTAATGACGTGAGAAATAAGAAAGACTTCAGTATGTCTCTAGTCTAGATCGTGGATCTCTGATAAGCACTAACTCATAGGGTTAATCTTCAGCTTTAGGCCTTGAGCATAGTGGGTATTCATATATGGAGATTATCATTAAAACATATAGGAATTCTACAGCAGCAGGAATTATATAGAAGTTCCTGTAGCAAACTGCATGTCTGCACTGACGTGACTGCAGATTTGGTGACAATAAATAAAGCACAGAAACAATGAAATTCAATACTGTCAAGTTATTTTCCGAGTTAACAAGGTAGTTATATTTTATCTGGCTTGTAAAATTTTGCCTTCAGTGAATAAGTAAATAAATCATTGATTTCTCCTGATGAGGATTCTCACCGTAGGTAATATCACTTGAATGTTTGCATGAAGTGTTCTCAAAGAAAAACTGGGATAATATTGATTTTAAAATGTGTTGTTAGTGTTTGTGGGGTTTTGTTGTGATTTTTTTTTTATTTACTTTAAAGTGCTGGAGTAAAATCTTAATATTAGCCATCAGACCCTAGAGCCTGAAATTCACATTGTGTCAAAGAAGCTAAAATTCCTAGCAGTGTTATTTAAGCAGACCAGTCCCCTATTTGGCTGTAAATTAAAGACAGTGCATTAAATTTATTCCTGAAGAAGCAGAGGATGTCAGAAACTGCCATGTAATTGGCGTATCTTATTTGCAAAATAACATGGAAAGGAGGACTAGGAAAACCTAAACAAACATCTTCATCAATAATAGGTAATTTACTAAAATTATTATTAATATACATGTTTGCATAGTTATTAAAGTTCTTAGTCAGGAGAAGACATCTGAAAGGAGCAAAGTAAAATGAGAGGAAATCACCCTGAAGTTTAAATGACGTCTAGAAAGTACACACGAGCTAATACAGAGTGGTGGCCCATGACATGAGCAGTTCCCAGTGTTGCACATGCAGATCTCCAGATTTTGAACGTACAGTAACTGCATTCGTATAATTTACCAGTTCAGATCCAAAGGACTTGTAAAATAATGCCTTATGTATCATGTGCCTATGTTTAAAATGGTTTAATCTGTAAGAGAGCTTAAACAATGGTTTTTCAAAGTATTAGATATTAATGATACTGCTATTATATTGGAAATTGAAATTGGGTTCAGCTTAGCTTGGTTCAGGTCATTCAGGCTAGGGTTACAGTAGTCTTTGAAGATTTCATTCTCCTTTTATACCGCTGACAAAAGGCTTCTAGCTAATTTCAGAAATTCCGTTTTAATATTAAGGAATGGTAAGAATTTTGGTGATTCTGAGAAACATTAAAATAGCTGCCTGGTGAGTGGAGGGTATCCATGTTTGGCATAAATAATGCTGCCTCTCTATAGCAGTTCTGAGCCTCCACAAATAGCTTGTCACTTCACTAAAATCAATAATCAAGGTACTTTTACTCAGAAGCTGAACTAGCCTTATAAAGAAGACTTATATTTATGGCATTTTTACTCCAAACACTTTCTTCCAGTGGTTATTGCAGTTTGTGTAACAAAGGGTTGGTGCTGTACATTGATTTTACAACAGCACAAATATAGCTAAATGTTCCTTGCCGAATAGCAAAGAAACATAACAATCAGGGCTTTGTCTTCTTGACGGTCATCCTTTCCTCAATGCGCTGGGCAATTCCTGTAGTTAAGCTGAAAGTAACTACCTTCCACATAGAAATCTAAAGAGTGGCAAAGTTCAGTCTATTGAAATTACATTTGCAAATTTTGTTGTTCATACATCATCTACTGAGTATAATTTTCAAGTTGGAGCATTATCTCATTTTGCAGGGCTTAGTCTTAATTGATTTTGTAAAAGAATGTACTGGAACTGGAAGTTTTATGCATTGTAAATTCCACTATTTTAAAACTGGTCAAAACTGAGCAGAAGGTAAATTTCTCACTGTAGCTATCTGATATTTCGAGAACCTCTGAGAAAAAGTTTTCTCAGTCATCCTTTGGTCTATTTTACAGCTAATATTCAGTTACAGAATGAGACATGACAATAAGAGCTTTTCATAAGCCTGTTTCTGTGAATCACTTAAAATATCCTGTTTAGGAAAAGCAAGTCTGGCTTTGTTTTGGGTTGTTACATACATATTTTATTCTACTGTAAACCCCCTTTTTTAATCCTACTAATAGGTCATTCAGATAAACTTTTTGGGGCATTGCTTGCATTTTTGGAGTCAGTTTAGAATCTGTATGCCTGTAAACTTGTGTGAGTGCATGAAGGGTAAATCAGATTTAAAACCAGAAATAGTATGAACAAAATGCATTTTCAATCAGCATCTTCTGTCCAGAGCCCATCACATTGCCTTATGTTTCTTGGTCGATAACTTTGTTCTTCTTTTAGTACATCTGCTTTTTTTTGCTCCCATTTACAAAACACTTTAGTTTGTTTTTATGCTCAATTAATGAGGTTTTTTAAAGGCTTTGGACAATAGTATTAAACATGCAGTATGGTTCTCAAACTCAAAAAAAATAATGGTTTCAACAATTGAAATATTTTGTGCTTTGACTTGTACTGCTCTGTATTACAGGTTTGGTTTTTTTTTCTCCCCTTTTCGCACAGAGTATGATTTCTTCCATTGTGAACAGCACTTACTATGCAAATGTCTCAGCAGCAAAATGTCAGGAATTTGGAAGGTGGTATAAACATTTCAAGAAGGCAAAAGATATGATGGGTAAGCAAAAAAAAAAAAAATTGCTGTGATTGTGGTTACATACCATTATGTGTCACGTTGAGGTCTGTCACAGTCATGTAAGAAGCCAGGTCCCTTCACCATAAGTTTAGGATGCTTTTGATGAGTAGATGTAGAAAGTACATATATAGGGAAAAAATTCATTTAAATAAATATTTGCTATTGTAACAGCCAAACTGACTTGGGTTGCCAGAAGTGTAAAGCTGTCATTCTGTAAATCTAGAAATCTTCTACCACCCAGAATAATTGTTTAAAAAGCCTGTTCCTGGAACTGTGATGGATTGATTTTTTTTTTTTTTCTTGCTCTGACTAACGTATATTTAAAGAAAAAGGCTTCTGTAACTATCACTGCCTTCCAGCAAGAATGCTATAATTTTATCAATTTATTTTAACAAATAGTTGTTGTGACAATTGTTTGCTTGTTGTAGTAAGTACAAGTAAATTAGTGCAGAAAAAAATCTATCAGTGGGACATATTAATTCTGTAATACCTTTTAGCTTTCTGTATTGCCCCTTTAAAAAACTATTTCTTGAACCTGTTAACACAGATTTAAATGCTTTATGTCAGAAGATTTCTACACGGTTTTCAACAAAATTAAGAAATGGGACCTCAGTTTGGGTTGAATTTTGAGCTTCTCGTATCTTTCAGTATTTGAAGCAAAATCATTCATCTACCAAAACGGGTTCCTTGCCTTTTATAGCTTAAGGCTGTAATGAAGACAATGCATCACTTTTGTGATAATTGCTTGAATTACTATTCCAAGTGAATGGCCCACTTGGGTTGATTTCTACTTTCTGCTAGTGAAGGCAGCTTCTTTACTTTATATACTTTGTGCAACTTCTGTGCAACACCAAAGCCGCCTTCTGAGACCGCTGGAGTCGGTGGTAAGACTACACTTGATTTCAAGTGGTCTGGGTGCAAGTCAGCAAAGCACCTGCACAGGAGGGTGACCTTTCTCCACCATCCTCTCCCACCTCCACTACAGCAGTGCTCCTGCAAGGGGCAACCCCAGCAAAATTTTGCTGAGACAGGTTCACCATCCATTCATTCGAGGACAAGGAAGCCGGAGCGTAGGAAGCACTGTGTGTGTGTGTATTCCTTCCTAAGCTAACGCTGGTGGGAGAGTCAGCACTGCCCCAAGGCCACATGGGTGAGGAGCAGCGAGTGCTCTGCTGTGAGGCTGGTCCAGGCTATGGACATCAGACCTCTCCACAGCACAACTGGCTTGCTTTTTATTTTTTAAATTTCTGCCCCCGCTAGGACAGTGCTGCGGGTGGGAATCCAGGTGCCAATTTCATCTTCCAGCTCTCAGCCCTGTAGAGGAAAGGATGGTCTTTCACTGAATGTCTGTTAGTGAAGATCCTAATTACTGTGAGAAGCTCAGACACTGACTTTTTAAACAAAATTATGCTCTACTTGTGTAAGAAAAAAATGCTGCAACACTTTTGTGAAGATACTGGAGTTTTGCTTTTTAAATAAAGCATATTTTCATAAGGCTATTTCCAGACCAGCATTTCTAGGGCTCTAGAACTGAGATTGTTTAAAATGAAAAAGTGGCATGAATTGATAAAAAGGAGACTCCTTCACAGCAGCCTGGGGTTATTTTATATTGTCTTATCATGCACAAGAGGGGAGCTGGAAAAACTCTTGTAGTTTAAAAAACTGTGTTGTTAATTAAAAAGGAGGGTGTGTCAAGGCAGATGAGTTAATATAAGAAAAAATTCAACCATGTTGCAAGTCACTGAAAAAACCATGCATACATGGTTGCAAGATAAAGCAGCCCATCTGTGTAATTTACATAAATTATACTAGTTCCTAGCAGTCCCATACAATTGATGCAGCATCTAGAAATTAGCAGAGGGTCCCCACCCAACCCTGCTTGTTACAGACTTCCAGTGGCTGGGAACTGCAGATGTTGCAGCGGGGACACCACAGAAGGAACAAAACCAGTCACCTGGGGCTTCTCTCTCTTGAGCCGGGTGTGCTTTCCCAGGACAGCCCTCCTCACCCTTTGTGCACATGCACTGATCACTTCACCTGCATCTGCCCCAGCTCTCAGCGGTCTCCTGTCCCCTCCCCTTGCCCCCTCTCCCTGGCACACGGCCTCAGGTGAAGTCCCCTCCTTCCATCCCTGCGCCGCAGGCTCGCCGACCCCTTGGCAGAACTCTCAGGAAGCTGCTCCTTTGCCTCCAGTGTTCTGCTGGTGCCTCCAAGGGCCCACCGATGATAATGGGCAGTTTTTTGGATGTTTGGTTTTTTTTTCAGATATTCACGACACCATTATTTGTAGGTAAATTTGAAGGCAAATAGCCGCAACAGGGATGTTACAGACCTGCTGCTCTAGGCTGGAGAGTGCAGTAAGCTCGAACCTGAATGCACTCGTTTATTTTTATTAGCACATCTTGTGAAAAGTGTAGAGTTCATGATTTTCAGTCTTATGTTGGCTTTTTCAATGTTTCTTTTCCATCGTAGTTGAGATGGATAGCCTTTCTGAACTATCCCAGCAAGGTGCCAACCATGTCAACTTCGGTCAGCAGCCGGTCCCAGGGAGCACAGCCGAACAGCCTCCATCCCCTGTTCAGCTTTCTCATGGTAGTCAACCATCAGTTCGGACCCCGCTTCCAAACCTGCACCCTGGACTTGTATCTACTCCCATTAGCCCTCAGCTGGTAAATCAGCAGCTGGTAATGGCCCAGTTGCTGAACCAGCAGTATGCAGTGAACAGACTTCTAGCCCAGCAGTCCTTAAACCAACAGTACTTGAACCACCCTCCTCCTGTCAGTAGATCCATGAACAAGCCGTTGGAGCAGCAGGTCTCAACAAACACAGAGGTGTCTTCCGAAATCTACCAGTGGGTCCGTGATGAACTGAAACGAGCAGGAATCTCACAGGCAGTATTTGCACGTGTGGCTTTTAACCGAACTCAGGCAAGTAATCTTTTTTTCTTATTTTTTTTCCATCTGAGTGTCCCTTCTTTCTGCCTCTGTTAGGTAATTACCACCTTTGAAGTCTCTCCTCTTTTCTGCCTTGTCACGTATCTCCTGTGAAGGAACCACGCTTCCTTGCAGGACCAGTGTCCATGTTGATGCAGTACAAAAATCTTCAGTGACTGGTTTGTGGAAATACACACTGTCCTTACAGACACCTTGACTCTTCTCCAGTTGTGATGGTTTATGAATAGCTGAATCTTTCCTAAGAAGGAAACAACTCTGTGCAGAGCCATTCACAAAGACACCTAACAGATTGCCTTTTGTGGTGTGAAAGCATAGACGTACTGACCACATGCACATACTGAACTACCTGTCTTCTTTCACAGGTGTACAAGAGGTGGTCTTTTCTTCTTCTTTGCATTTATTTTTCTTATTTTCTGGTGAAAGTTTTAATAATGTCTTTTTGAGCTTCTGAAAATATTAAAAAAGAAAAGCTTTATTTTTAATCGTGTACCAATTTCATGCATTTTTGTAGTTTGTTGCAAAAACGGTAGTTGCTGATATTGCCTATGTCCAAGTCAACATATACTTCAGCTCTTCAGTGCAGAAAAAGCTATCCCTAGGAAAGCTGATAAGTAACACTAAAATGTGTTATTTTTTACACCTGTTTTAGAAGCTAACCCTGTTATAATTTATTCTGCTCTATGAATTTAACTTAATGCCATGTTGCATGGAATTTAATCAAGCAGAAATTATGGAAGAAATGTCAGAATATCCAATGCAAATAATAAGACTTCAAAATTTTGGAAGTCTGTTTTAACAGAAAATAAAATAGTGGGGTTTTTTTTCTTAGGAAGTATTTTTAAAATATATAGGTGAATTTGGTTTAGATTCCACATTTTTAAATTTAAGGAACAAGTATTTGGGGCTTCTCATGAAATGTTGATGTTTCTCCTTGCGTAGTTGAGAGCATAAAAGTTCTGCTTCAAATGCACTGGTATCAGGTTGGATTCAGAGTGTAATTTGTAATTATTCTGAATTATTATTGCCTTCTAAATTTTTACGTCCTCCTTTAGCTAAAAGAGAGTGGAGTCATGGTGTGAATTCTCTGTAGAGCTCTGTGTGTGTGCCTTTCCTCTTAACAGCAGAGAAAATCTTCAAGATCTGGGTCTCATACCAAGTTTAATGGGATACACAAACTTATGCAGGGATTACTTACGTAAGTTAGGTCCAGGCAAGTGTCAGTTGTTGTATTTACAAGTAAACAGAGTTTTGCTTAACTATTGATACTATAAAGTATTCAAATAGTAACAGTAGCTTCAAGTTACAATGCTTTGCAGCTGCCATCTTACCTGGAAAAAAAGCCAAGCAAATAATTCAGAAAACAAATAGTTTATTATATATTTACTTCGTTCTCAGACTTGCCTAAAAGCAGCTTCTTTTCTCTCAGCTTTCTTCCCTCTCTGAAGTAATTTGTTCAGTTTTTGTCAGTTGCTTTTGTGTACAGCTTTTGGGCTGCCATTTGTGCATGAGCAGTATTTGTGCTCATGCACCCAAAATACAGGGAAGATCGCTTCTGACTGGGCATTGAATTTATATGACACCATATGAGAGGATGCCCTTGAGATGTAATAAATACAACTGCAAAACCAGATTTCTAGTGTTGGATTCCTGATTACTGTATATTTTTCTTAATACAAATGTTACTAAATATTTGTTTAGTTCAACTCTTCCACAGATGTTGTGGTTAACCAGTTTGGTAAAGTGTGTTCAAAGTGACCCAAAACTAGGAGGAAACCCCAAAATGAACATTGAAAACAAATCCTGTGAAGAGACACAAAATACATATGTCATATATTTTGGCAATTTTCAACCATACGTACTCGAAAGAGCACAGAGTAGTATTGCAATATCCTACAAATTGTGTTAGCTACTCAAATTAGTATTTACAGTTAGCTGCGTAAGATTTTGCAGTATTTGTTAAACATTGTGGCAAATGTAGGGAACAGGAAGGAAAAATACTAGGAGCCTAGACAATATTAGCCTTGGTATTGCCAAGAAATATCTCAGCATACTTTTCACATGAGTTATGAAGCAAAGCCTCACTGAAATCCAGAAGAGTTTGTTGTAGGCCCATTCTACCTTTGCAAAACTGAAAATTGTTAATTTTACCCAGAGTAACAGCTAGTGTCAAAGTATAAGCATAGGTAGAGATAACTGTAATTCTTATATGAAAACATTTAAATTTGTTCTACTTTTTGTACTTTGGAATTCATCGCAGTTTATTCAAGGATACATCACATTTAACTCAAAGTAGGGCAGCACTTTAATAACTGATGATATTTAGAAGTTATTTTCTACTATTGATTTTTTTTTTTTTTTTTTTTTTGGCTAGAGCAAGTGAAAATACTTGTTTAAATTCATCTACAGTTTTCTGAGATAAAAAGCTAACTCAGGCTTACCACTGACATTTTTGAAACTGTCACAAGCATATCTGAGCTGTGTCCAGGGACCATATCATGCCATCAGTTTCTAAAGGCAGAAGATCTCACTGAAATCAGTTAGGAGTTCTGTGCAAAAAAAAGTAAACCCTAGTGTCGAGATATGGTCTCAGATGAGGGGAGAGATTTGCTTTCAGCGTAAAAGTTGAGGAAGGAAGTGAACTATAAACCAAGAGTAATTTAGCTTAATCTTTTGACAATAAAAATGGACTTTAGTGGAATTTGCTGAAGATGTTGTCACCTCTTGTTGTACAGACTTGTGCTCTGCAGTATGAGAACAGAAGTTAGTGACATTTTTAGGTGGGAAGGGTGGGTTCTATCACACTGGTAGTTCAACACTTGGCCCTAGTTATCAATAAGTTTTGACTTAGGGGAAAAAAACTTTGACTAGAAATATTTCTACCACCTCCCAGCTCAAAGGAAAGAATTTGGTAAAATTACTTCTGAAAACTAGGGTGTCTTTATTTTTAGTTATCATCTATTTATAAGACAGAAAAAAACCCACGGCCACACCTCAGAAAACTGAGATGGTGTCCTTAATATCTTCTTGGATAACTTCTGCCCTACCCTTAACTGCAAACTGGTAGTTTCAGAAATGTGTAGTTCTCAGGAATGCGCTTTGGAGAGTTTAATCCAAGGGGAGTCCAGCTATAACTTGAATGAAAATTAACATCTACACAAACACAACAGAACAAGTGTTGTAGGGAATAGAAGCCCTTTTGGAGGGTGGAGCACCTCTCCTCACAAGAAATTTCATAGTGGTTCTTCTAGGAAGCCTGTAAAACACAGCCAGGTCTGAAATGTTACTTCTCCTTCAGCAGTTGCAATTTCAGCCCACTGACTGTAAAGAAACATTGAATCCTATTATCCTGTGTAGAGCACCATGGAAAAGTTTTTTCAGCCAGGATTTGTGGTAGCAGATCTGAGTTTCACCTCGAGCATAGCTACCAAATGCATCTGCTGGCTACTCTGTCGGCTAGGGTAATTTTCATACGATGTGCTGCTCATGTTTCAGTTGCTCTTTGACGGAATTAATAAACACGGTGTTTTTTCCAGCTGATGTCAGTGCACTGTGCAATGACCTCCACTGTCTTGAAGGAATGAGTCTGGTATTTTCCTGCACTTTGCTGATCAGAAAATGGCATTTGTGATCAACTTGCTGGCCCCGGCAGCCGGGAGCAGCTGGAGGGCGATGGGGCTCGATGCTTTGGGGCAGCCCCCCGAAGCATGGTGCCCCGTGCCAGCCTCTGCCCCACTCTCCCATCAGCAGAGAGGCTCAGCCTGCCTCAGCAAATTTGCAGTTAACCTCAGAGGTTCTCCACTCTGTTCTGCTCTTCTTGAGAGAGCTGGAGCAGAGCATTGGCATTTGTTCGGCTGAACCACCTTCAGAGCCCTCAACTAAAAAAGACACCTCTACCCTTTCTGCCCTGTGTTTGTCAATGTAAACATGCGTCAGGAAATGGAAAGCTTGAGAGCCCACAAGCAAGTCTGGCATTTGACTTGAAGGTGTAGCTTAATCTGGTGCATGGCAGTGACATGTACACGTACTGCACCAGCAAGGAATTGTGTTAGTCATGGTTGTGGTTGGAACTGTAGCTTGGGGCTGCCTGTCTCTGTGTGCACTTTTATCTGCAACATTTGCTGCCTGAGCTTGGGTGCTGCTGCATGGAGGTGACCTCTCGGCTCCATCTTCATGAAAGGAGAGGGAGTGCTTTTTGGTGCTCTGGCCATGTCTGACTATGGTAGTTTTTCTTCTTCCCACCAGCGACAGTTTTTTGTCTTAAGGTTTTTGAGTACTTCTCAGTGTTTCTGCGAGATGACTTTTCTCTCCCTCTGCTTTCAACTTCGCTTCCATACTTGTTTAAAACGTTAGCTGCCAGAATATGTTGCCTTTCTCATATGTGAAGACTTCTGTGTGTTTAGGACTGTGCTCATGCTAATTCTGAGCAATTGCTATTTTGAGGGAGAACACTCGGATGCAGTAAATGGCTCTGTGTAATTTTAAAACAAAATCTAAGTTTACACAAACCACCTTCTCAGGCACTTTTTCTTTCTTTCTTTTTTTTTTTTTTTTCTTCCACTTCGTCTTTGGCACGCTTTATTTTCCAGTAAAATGAAAAATGAAGATGGATTATTCAAAATTGATAACAGTAATGGACCATCATGTAATGTTTTATTGAATTTGAGTTCTGTAAATTATGTGGTAGAGAGAAATTTGCCTGCTTAAGTATAACAGAAATTGCCACTGTATTCATATAATTCTTCGTAGTGTAATTTAAGAAAAAGCACACTATCCATATCACTATTGAATAAAAGGTAAAAAGGTGCTATTAAACTATCATGACAGCTCTCCTCTTGCTACTAAGCGACACAGATAAATGTGTCTGCTTATAACTTACTTGGCAGGAATCCAGGCTTGTGGGTGGAGTTTGTGAACAGTCTTCCACCTGGACATGGGCTGGAAGCACCCTCCAATGGAGAGAGATAGTGTTCAGGGATGTTTTGCATATTTTGGGGAGGTTTGGGCAAATGGCATTTTTCTTCTGGGAGCTTTGAAGTTCTATCAGGCTGATAAAATCTATTTGAATCAGTGATTACATTCAAAGAGAAGACAAACCGAGGGCCAGACAGGCAATGTTTTTGTTCATATTGGCAGACGTTTTCGTTTATCTCCACTTTTAAAGAATTCATAATTAGCTCTTGAAAGCCCTGATATTATTTATTGAAAATTTTTGTGCAATTAGTAATGAATTATACTTGTGATGACATGTAAACTTTCTTTTTTTCTCTGGAACCTGGTAACATTTTAAGAAAATACATTTCCAATGTGAAAAGAATGCAAGGGAAGAACCGTGTTTATAATGCCTGTGCAGAAGAGCATTTAGCTTTTATGCAACCTGAGGTACAGCGTTAGGAGGTCACACCAAGACTTGTACCTTGGCAAACCAGTTCAAGCCTGATAAAACAGATAGTAAATTCTTTGCATGTCAGCATGAAGGATGTGAAACCTGATGTTTTATTTCTAGGATTTTCGCCTTTTACACCTCATCTAAGTCTTTAGCTGAAATTTTGTGCTCGGAAAATTAAAGCAGTAGCAATGAAGTAAGATTCGAAGCAGGCAAACTGCATTGTAAGTCTTTGTATGCACCTGGTACTACACCTTATTTTTCATGTTATTTCCCCACATATTCTGACCTTTAGGTTCAAAGCTCCTAGAACCAAACATCTCCTCCTTGCCTTCTCTCCTCTTTCTCATCTTCCCGCCCTTTCTGCGTCTGTGCCCTCTGCTCTGCTCCCAGCTCACGCAGAGTATCATGGCAGTGACGAGGGAAGGAGAGGGGAATATGAATGCTTAATGGCATTTCTAATCACCAAGAGGTGTCCTGCAGCAATGCTTATACTAACAAATGCAGGAAAAATATAAAAAACAATTTTCTTTGTTTTATTTCTGAGGGGGTGAAAAATTAAGCAAGTAGAACAGCCTTTTCTGTTTTTTTTTTGGTTTTTTTTTTGTTTGTTTGTTTGTTGTTGTTTTGTTTGTTTGTTTGTTTTTGTTTTTCTATTGTGTGTGTGTGGTTTTGTTTGTTTGTTTGTTTTAGCTGCCCACTATGGCAAAGGCTTATATGAGCAAATGTTTTCTAATATGGGCTAAAATATTTTTCAAGGGCATTTCCTGTGGCAGACAGTAGGCTGGCTGTTAGTAGGCTGTCTCCTCTCCTGCCAATGATCAGTCCACTTGAGTTTAGTTTTGCTTTCTTCTTTTTAATCTTGGTGGGCTTCTTTTAGCACAGTAGCAGTCAGAAATCACATGTGTTTACACCTCCATCATACATCCTGTGCTCTGCAAACAGCTTTGCCTTGTCTTCAGTGGCACAAAATAATTTTCTGCCTCCTCTGGAGGACGGATTGTGTGACCCTACCGTTGACAAAAAAGAATAACTGTGGATTTGGTTACTTAGAAAAAAAATGGTAGACAAGAATTTAATGTCTATATTTGCTAATAAATAAATTTATTATTCATTTAATCATTTAAGAAAAATTTTGAAACTTATAATCCATCCAGATGTCACTTTTGTCTGTAAGTCATTTATTTACCTTCTGAGTAGTTTATGCCTGGACAGCAGAAGAAGGGAGGGATGAAAAATAGTGGTAAGAAAGTATCTCCCAGGATTATTTTTTTTTAATACTACTCCAAATTATTTTTACTGCTTAGTACTTGGAAGACTGTTTGTGTTTTCCATCCCATTTCCCTCTTATGAGTGCAGGCACAGACAGGGCCATGAGGACCATACAGACCCCATTGTAGTGGTTTGTACCTCCATCCTCATGGACTTTGAGAGATGAAGGGGCAACAGGGCAAATGCAGAACTCAGAGCTGCACTGGGTGGGCTCTGACCCTGCTCCAGCACAGCTACCTGAGAGCGGTGGCTTTGCAGCAGCACCCTCCTAAAGGGATTTTCCCTGATAGGCTAGGACCTTTGAGAGAGGTGACAACTTCCATAGGTGCTGTGAGCGTCAGCCTTGCTGAGAACTGAGATAAAATGATTACATAGGATACCTGCTGTGGTCTGCAGCAAGCTGCTGGTCTCATGCTCTTGCCTGCAGCCTGCCCATCTTGCTGCTGTGGATGCCCTGGGTTCTTCTTTCCTCTCCTTCCCCAGTGCTCACTTTTGTTTGACATTACTGGACTCCGGAAATGGTCAGCAATGGTAAATGGACTTGGGAAATGGGATCTGCACAGCAGGTGCTCGGATAAATAGCCCAGGCAATGGACTGGGTGAGGGTTAGGGTTGTCCTGGTGAGGGGAGGGGAACAGTGGGAGGAGGATGAAGGTGAAGGAGGAGGAGCATCCAACAGTAAGTTTCCTGGCATATTAAACTCCAATACACAACTCTCAAAACAAAATATTGACTTATAAAAAATATGGACCTAAGCCAGTTAAGCAGTACTTTAGGAATATTGTGAATTTATCATCTCGGAATAGTTGTGAAATATCACTTCCTTCCAAAGAGCTGTTTCAGTTGCTAGAAATGTGGAAAGCCACTTTTTCAGGTTGGCTATGAGTTTTGTCTGGGAAGCCTGAGAACATGCCAATGTCACGCCTCTGGACTATCTGTGTCTCACTTATTCTTAACATCTTGTGATTGTCTGTCGACTGAAAGATTTCATGGCAAGTTAAGCCAGTAAAAGGAAGGAGACCTATTAGGCAGATTCGGTTTATGGTGTATGTAAAACAGCTGCTTAATAAAATTAAGGGTAAAATTGAGGGTCTCTTCTCTGCTACCTAAAATGCCGTTAATATTTTCCTGTGTGGAGTGAATAGTGCATTTGCTGCTCCTGTTCTCAGCCCAGCGGGAAGAAGAAGGAGGACCAATGAGCAGTAGCTTGGCAGAGCACTAGGGTTTGCAGGCCATCACCTAGGATAACTCTCCAGCTTCTTGTTTTTTCCTTCTCTCCCTCCAGGGCTTGCTCTCAGAAATCCTCCGAAAAGAAGAAGATCCCAAGACTGCCTCGCAGTCCTTACTGGTAAACCTTCGGGCTATGCAGAACTTCTTGCAGCTGCCAGAAGCTGAACGAGATCGAATTTACCAGGACGAAAGGGAAAGGAGCTTGAACGCAGCCTCTGCAATGGGCCCTGCGCCTCTCATCAGCACACCGCCTAGCCGGCCTCCACAAGTAAACCCCTCTCTCTGTCTTTGATGTATGCTCTAGTGTTTGCTCACTGTCCTGCTGGGTGATGCCTTTCTTAAGAAGGAAACTTTTACTGTCGCATTTTAATGAATCGTTATTTGCCGTGCACACCACAAATTAAATGGACAAAATATAACGAAAAAAGTAGGAGTTTATTACTGCCTGTTTTCTATGTTTAAGATAATTTCATCCATGATCGACTCTACAGAGTTTTTTTGCTTGTTTTAGTAAGATAGCACAGATTCACAGCAGCTTTACTGGATCTGGAAGATGCTGGCTTTTTTCTGTCCTTTTTTTTCCCCCTGTAATTCTCAGGTGTTGTTTTTAATGTTAGAGGTTCAAATAGGGATTTTGAAGGATTTGGACCATAAACTGAGTGGGAATGAAGGCAGAAGTACAGGTATATTGTATTGTCTTAAAAGTTACCTTTCAGAAAACAAATAGGTGTAACTAAAGGGATGGGGGAAAGAAGACTCCATCCCAGAATGCTGGGTACACTTTCACCAGGTTGAGCTACTAACAGCTGGATAACATAGCATAACATAACATAACATAGCATAACATAACATAGCATAACATAACATCAGACTTGCTACATCCATTGCTCTTAAAGATTTTGATATGTTCATTTGGAATCTATTCAGATGAAACTACTATTGATTTCTGTAAAATCTGGTGGGACTTCTGATTTAATTGTCCCAAAATTATGTTTGATAGAATAGAATCCAGAAAGTCAGTGGTGTAGTCCTTGTGTCTATCAAGGAAGCTCTGATGCTAGAGTGTGTGAGAAATACAGGTGTAAGCTGTAGGAATGCAGAGGACTTCCACAAAGAAGAACTGCAGTTGTGAATGAAATACTCCAAACTCACGTATTTTCTCTGAAATAGTCCCCATTGCTGTGGCTACAGGTTGTACCTATGCAAGGACAAAACAAGCTGACTTGCAGATATGTGGGAGCCATGCTGTATACACAACCCAGATTTGTTCTACATAGCAAGGCTTTGGGATTGTGGGAATTTTGTGATGGCTAAGTATACAGAGAGCAGTTTTTTGCTAACCAGGCTTAGGCTTGTGCCTATGTCTGTATTCCATACCCATTCTCAGTGCTATAAATTCCTCAAGATTATTTTTCTAATTTTCCTGCAGCTAATGGATATACTAAGGACCACACTAAAGTAACTAATAACAAAATTATAGTTAAAGGATGGACAGAAGATCACTTTGACCTGATGCAGTACTTTTCACAAGAAGAGAAAAAAAATTTAGCAGAAAGAACAGACTGTGCTAATGGTCTAATTCTGTTATCATTAACTGAATTTAGACTGTGAAATCCACTATATATACTCTTCAAGATAAAGGATGAGAATCTATTTACATAGTAATGCTTTTGTGGGAAATAGTTACATATAGATAACTGTGTTTAAAGTAACATTTGGATTTGTTTTAATATCTGTACCTGCTCCCACAGCCTAGGTAATTCAGAACAAAGGCTAACCCTCGTTCTTAACTTATCTCTTTCTGCCAAGGTAATGTCTCACTCTGTCTCAAGTGGTCTTGGGCAATTTCACAGCTAAAGAACAGAGTTAATTACAGGACCTTCCAGAAGGATGTCAAATCAGAGGTAGTCCTTGTATTGGTTTTAATTCACACTTTAAACCGTATAAATCCCTCGCAGCCAGAAAGAAAGTGAGACTTAGGGGTTGTCTTAACTGACAAAGCGTACTGTAAATCCAAATTTAGGGGTCAGAGACGGGGGATCTATCTGTCTCTTCTGTGCTTTTGCTCATAATTACATTTTGGTTTTTTGGTGGGAGTCAGGAGTATGGTTAACCCAATTGCAACAGTTCAAAGTGGAAACGGCATCTGGTTTTGTTTTGGTCCTTTTCAAAAGGAAAACAGGTTATCAAGGAAACCTTATAGACTAATAATGCGGTCTACAGAACAAAACAGTCATTTTTCTAGCTGTTATATTGTTCTCTGTCATTCAGCAAAACATATACACTTTACCTAGTGGATGGACCAAGGATGTAGAAATCTCTGAGTTGGGATTCCGTGCAACCTTTATACATGTTGCCAGAATTACCCACCTATAAACACATGTAGCACTTGCCACCTGCTATGAAGTATTCAGAGCCCTAAGCTTTAAAACTGAAATATCCATGTTGGTAACCTAAGTACAATACTTAATGCTAGAAATAATAATGAAATTATTCTTCTTGTTGCCCTGGCGAGTATAACTTTACAAGTTGTAGCAGAAATAAATAATAGTCAGGATACCGCAAAATTATTAATGCAAACTAATACACAGATAATACCCCCAGATGTCCATGGTTTATTGGATATTTGTTACTAAGAACATAAAACTACTAGCATCCTTACTACTAAATTTATTATAACCAATTATTTAAAGTTCACTGTATAGGAATACAGCATAATTTTTCTCTAGCTTAGCTCTGAGCTTCTTGGATAACTGTTGAAAAACAGACCATTTACCCTGACAACAGAATTTACGCAAGAGCCAACATATTTAATATTAAATCTTTAGACCAGTGTAACATTTGAAACAATTAAACTATGAAACCATGAAAAATGGGAGCTAATATGCCACACATGAAGGTTTATTTTGCAATTGCGAGTTATCAGTTTCGGAAGGATGTGAAAATAAACATCCTGAAAAGGATCTATTTTGCATTTTTGTGTTGCCAACTGGTGGCCAGACAGTAGAGCAGACTTAACCATTTAGCAGCCAAGCTTGTTCTCTGTGAATTTTGCATACTGTTGCATGCAAAAACAGAAAGCGTGACCTTGTAGGTCTGATAGGATAGTAGAAACTCACCAAGAATAAACCCGGGTGCCTGAGTTAGAAGGAACTGTGTGGAATTTATCTCATTTTGACAGCATTCTTACTAGTTGCTACTTGAGCTAACGCATCTGGATTGCTTCCAATTCTTTTTTTTAAATCCTTTAAGAAGCTCTTTGTCCCCCTTACTTCTCCCTTTCTCTCTGACTTAAACAAAAAAGCAAAATCTTACTTCTTTTTTCTTTTTTTTTTTTTTTTTAATTGAAATCATTAGCTTCTAACGCATGAGCTTTTGGGATATGTGTATAGGCCTCTGAGCTGGTCAAGTTGTAAAAGTCTTCTACTGTTTTCCACACTGGTGGACTGAGTATGAGGAGATGGTGTACACAAGAATTTTTCCCTTGGGCATTGGTCATCTTGCCACCTGGGGCAGAGGCCTGTCTGTCAGGCTCTTTCCTGAGGCAGTGGAGTTTATAAATATTAGCATCTCCATCAGGTAGGTACTGCATGGAGACATAGTTTAACTTCTCTAACCTAGATGGAAGAAAACAGAGTCCTTTCTTGTTGGTTTTGTTTTTTTCCTTCTTCAATACCTTCATCTTTCATATCACCTCACAGAGGTCCTTCCTGGGTATCACTAAGTCAAATTCAGAGGATAAGTATACTACGTATTGTGTGGAACACAAGGATATGAAGATACTTCAGAGGATGCTGAATGTAGATCTATGTTCAGGGTAGATGGAGTTCTCCAGGGTAGTACTAGGGTTGGCCTCTCCCTCTTGATGGGCAGTTTGGGGGGTGAGGGGAAGAGAACTCCCTCCTCCATAGTACAGTTTGTGAGGAAGGATGGAAACAAGTGATCGGGTCACAGGTTTTATTTTCCAGAATATTCAGGTTAAAACTTGTTAGTTATCCTGCACTTAGGAACCCTTCCTTCTCAGGACAAATAATCTCCATTTCAGCAGAGCTGAGGGAGAAACCCTTGCTACCAATATTCCCCAAAGAAAACTTGTGCTAACTCTTGAAGCCCATCATCATCCTTCATAACAACAGAGTAATGTCAAGAGCTGAATATAATTTTAACAACATATTGTTTAAAGAAGTATCCACAAATCTTGCATGAGTCATGGTTCTGGGTACTCCATTGACAAAATTTAATTATTTCCATAAATAAAATCCTGGCCTCCCTCTGACTATAGATAAATTACAATTCCTTCATGCTATAACAATTTCAGCTGGGGTCCCAGCTATAGGGTGTCACACTTGAAAGACAGAACGCTGGAGGAAACTGCTTTGCTGATCTTTGAGGACCAGTGAACCATCCCCAGTTTGAGCTCCCATGATACTTGACAGTAGAGCTCTGGAGTTCAAACATTTACACACGCCGTATGTCACCACCAGCAAAATTTTTATTTTCAAGTCTGAAAAATTTGAGATTTGGGTTGGTAGTCTTTGTGCCAAGTTTAATTTTAATGAAAGCAAAAGTGACCAAAATAATAAATGCTACCCTCTCACCTCCCCCACAAAAGCCACCATGGAAGAGAGTTAATGGAAACCCTGACACTTAACTATAACTGCACTTCCAGGCGCCACTGTAATAATGGAGTAGTAAACCTTGTCCTGATAAAAGCTGTTCTGAAAGCAACAGCATTTATTGTACCTCCTGTGCTATTTGCAGAGCAGAACTGAAAAGTAGTTTGTTTTGCCTGGAATGAACTACTTTATGAATTTTAATGTACGATGTAATATTAAAAGCTAAACCGGGATTAAAGAAGATTTTTGTTCCCAAGCTAAAACAGTACTTATTAGAATGTGTTATAAAAGATTTTTTTGTTGTTGTTTCAGTTTTAATGGGGAAGAAACGAGGTGCCATGTGTGGGAAAACCTCTTCAGATTGGTTGTTCCTTCTACAACAACCCGCCCTTTATTTAGGAAAATTGAATTAATCCAGAACTTCTTGCTACTGTAATCAGTCAATATCGTGGTGAGAAGATATATCTGGACAGGCCAGGAGGGGATGGATGCATGGGTTTGGGGTTTTTCTTGCAAGTATTTTAAAAAGACTAAATTGATTTGTGATAGGAAGATGGCCAGATGAATTTCTGATTCTTAGTATGTTACATATGTAGAATAATGCTCCCCAGTTCAGTTAGTGTTTTCAAAATTTGATTACTGTCAAAAAAAAAAAATAATTTCACTGGTCTATGGTTTCTTTCCTAAGCAGAAAATGTGGCTATAAGTGTGTGTTGGGTGGGAGGTTGCGCTCAAGTGTGGATGAGATGAGACATGTTTTGTTTTTCTCTCCAAAACAAATACCTTTTCCACCTTCTCTCCCAAGTCCTGGAGTTGCACCACTTGGGGCTTTTTTGTTTTCTGTGGGGTTATTACAAGGAGGAGGGTGTTTTTTCAACCCAGCTTCAAGCAGCCTCTGTCTTGAACTCAATTCTAAATTCAACACAATAGCCGAGATGCTTACTATGTATAAATTATGAAACAATTTTATGTATGGATATTCTCCAAGAGGTTAATTAGCATTAGTGTATGGAATTCATCAGACCAGAGCAGACCGATGGTTCATCTAGTCCAGCTACAGTCTATACCTGATCCTTGAAGAGAAATCATTAAAAGGCAGGGGAAGAATTTTTATACTTGGCTGATAATGTAAATTAGAGAGGAAGAAGGTATGGCTGTAAGCAAAAACTCTTGATAATCCCCAAAGCCATCATTTTATAACTTTAAGACTTTTATTCTACTGAAGCTTTTTGGTCTAATGTGGCTTTTTGATGCAGATATTAGTGTTCTCTGTCTTTCACTTACTAATTCGATATCAACAGAAAACAATAGGAGGTTGATTTGTTTGTTTGTTTGAACTTCAGTGACATATTAGATGCTTTTGAGTTTGTTGTACTTAGATAGATGTGATTTGCCAACCAGAATGAGGATTTTCAGTAATTCCTCTGGGTTAAATGTGTATCTGTATTAAATTGGGCATTGAAAATTGTGGATCCGAATGCTCAGTTTAAGTTATGTCTCCAACTTGGTGTGTGGGTCTTGGTTTTCTGTGATCTGGATGTTCACAGCTCAGTTAAGTGGCTTCTGTATTACTGCTACAATGTGAATCTGTCTTTTGAAGCTGAGTAGCAATCAAGGAGACAGTGTGCTTACAGAAGAGAGACATTTTGATCAGAATCACAGAAGTAAAGTGTTTCCTTCCCAAAAGATACTCTGGACTTGAGTATGCTAGCTGAATAGTTTGCCTTCTCATCTTCCACCTCATGACCCTCAAAGATTAGTTACAAGTTAGAAATACTTCTTTGGAAGGACTGAAACAAGCTTCCCAAAGTTTACCTGAGGTCCGGGAAGGTATGCTGACAAACCACTACCTTTTTGCTTTCCGATTTAGCTTAGGCTGGTTGCTACATGCAAGCAGAGAAGTCTGTATCTAGATATATATTTAACATCCTTATTGGTTGTCAGTTATCTTTTAGCGACTCCTTTTCATTGAAAGTTTATAAAATTGCCACTGATTTTGTAATTTTCAAATGATTTTATAATATGGTGTTCAGGAGATGTGCCTGCTCTTGTGGCGCTGTGCTGATTTGCCCAGTTTGAGGTATGCATTTTCCTCCTCCACGGTGGGAATACGGGAGGTTTGTGGTGCTGCTCCTCACATTGCCCACTACCAGATGCCTCAAACATTTCTCAGCAGCTCTTGGCCCACGCTTGGCCATCCTGTACTGCAGCATCGCCTGTAAAATATCACACTGCAGAAAAGGAAACACCTTACTCTACCAATCATGGCTGCAAAGTGCTGGTTGTTCTCTGATGAAAGCAAATCTATTGGTAAACTGTATGCCACATTCTGGGATCCTTCTTCATTTCCCTTTTAATTTAGGAGTCCTGTTTTGAGACACCAGAAAGTGCTAGTGCCTGCCAGAAGGAGGCAGATGGAAGCATATATGGACCTTGTTCTTGCAGTTCATGGGCATGTATTAGCACAGCTCCTGAAACACCTTATAGACAAATCCAATTCAGCAAAAGTGGCATGCACTCCCAATTTCTGGGCTGGATTAGTTTATCTTAAAACCACTATGCAGGATAGTTAACACAAATTGAGCGTGACATTTCTTCAAAAAAAATTGGCTGATTTGCCTAAATACGTCTCTCACCCAAACGCTTTGACTCTCCTATCATGAGACCTGTGATATACGAAAGCTCACAGAGGGTGAGATTAGAAGATGAATTATCATGTTGTCATGATTTCCCTTTGAACCTCGAGGGACTTTAGGGCACAGGAAGGTGCTGACTTGTACCGGATTGAACTGATAGTGAAAGTGTGGTTTTAGACACATGCTTAAGAGTAGGCTGAATCACCCTCTGGAAGTGCCAAGCTCTGTCCATTAGATTTAGAGGTAGTCTGAATGACTAATTTAGGCTAGATGTGTAAGTTCTGAATGGCTAAATTAATTAAGCTATCAACAACTTTTGTATGAATCAGTAGGTTTGAACTGAAATCTAAAGGTTTGATTTTGCACCATCACCTTGTGGGTTCTTGGCATAAATCCAGTCTTTCTTCTGGCTTTCACTCTAGGATTAGTGGTCCATTAGGTCCACTAATCTTGAGCAAGCATTGCATAGGTAGCTACTCAAGAGACATTATGCCTTAACTTCTCAGAATATGGTAGGATAAGCTGAGTATCTGATGATTTTTTTGTACCTCTCCACTGATATTGCAGAAATTGCACTATAACCTTGGTGGGATGACTCTCTGTGTTGAAACATTTCCAGAGGATGAAGGAAAGGATAGTCTTCTGCACACCCTATCACTACTGATGTATTTTTTGTTCTTTTCCTTAATGATGCAGATGCAACATAGAGGTGGTAGTGTAATCATTCTGCCTTGTTTTCATGCTACTTTTTTTTTTAACCTGGACTGCAAGGAGAATAAATTTGTAATGTACAGAAGTGAAAAACAACTAGAATTAATAGTTAAGAAAGGCCTATCTTGATTTCATGAATGACATGAATGAGTGGTTAAAATGTGCTTTATTCTAAATTATCACTTTCTTGAAAACAGCTTAAGAATTAAACTGATAAGATAATATTTTTTTCAGGTTAAACCTAAAGCTGCAACTTTTCTAAATTATCATGCATTTAAGTGAGCTGGACATGTGGCATGAATCAAGATATATCTGTCAGGTTTTTATTTCATTAGAGATTTTCTTATGCTGCACTTAAAATTTTCACTTAATTTGCGTGGGGCAAAGAAATCATGTAAGGATTCACAAGTCTCTACAAGGTGTTTGACAAGTTTCCACCTAATTTGTTTTATGGCACTGAAATTCTTTGTGGTCAGTTAATGATAACTCATATTTCAGATGCTCTCACCTGTTACAATATGCTGAATTTTCTTGTTTCCCAGTTGCCTGAACCACGGATAACTTACAATGTTAAGTCTCTGAAAAGCTGAAATAATATCAGAGGAAGATTGAATTAAAGGAATAAAATGGAAAGGGAACTACTTGGGGAAGGAAGGAGAAGAAAATAAATTTTTCATAATGAAAAATGTCTTATAAAATATATTTTCTAGGTCAAAACTGCTACTATTGCTACAGAGAGGAATGGAAAAACAGAAAATAATTCCATGAACATTAATGCTTCCATTTACGATGAGATTCAACAGGAAATGAAGAGAGCTAAGGTGTCTCAAGCACTGTTTGCAAAGGTTGCAGCAACGAAAAGCCAGGTAAAGTTCCCAGGGCGCAACAGCCTCCCTGTCCTGTGTGATTACTTCCCCCATCCTCCTCCTGGGTTTTGGCCTGTTTCTGTGTGAGTTACAAGTGGGTAAGCACACCAGCCCCGTGCCACAACTCAGGGCTCCTTGCTGAGTGCAGAGGTAACCTCTGGTTGTCCTTGACCAGGCAAGGGTGAGAGGCAGCTTGCCAAGACTCGTTCCTCCCTCTCCACTGCCAGCGAGGTGCCTTCGCTGCGCACCCGTGGGTACTGAGTGGCTCCGGAAGCGACAGGGTC